GCGAATTATTGAAATAAAATTGAACCATATGTTAGACCCGAAATGACCTAGTTTGTGTCGAGTGGACGTTAAACCCCATGACTGTCTCTCTCCCCCCCTCTCTCTAAACTGTAAGGTCCAGTAGCCAGGATCCGCCAAGTGTATTAATTGTGTCACGTAACGGTGTTAGATAGTAATAGATTGTTGTAAATGCGATTACAACACGCCATTCAAAATTCAATACACGTTCCTAATATGGTTTAGCTGTGATCACGTGATATAATTTATATTCAATTCATGTCCACATGTTGCTATATTAGGATACATCCGGGTAAGAGATATAGTAACACGATGTCTTTCTATTAGGGGAGGTAATTAGGAAAGATAAACACATTAATCAACTGTTTACTTCCAATCGTTATTTAATGGATTAAAGGGGCATGATCACTTTAAATAAGAAATGAAAAGGGATTTAACGTCTTACTATTAAGAACCAACAGGGATAATACAGACGGGCATGCACAGTTGGACAATGGCGTTTCCGCCTACTCTTCGTCGAATTCCAATTGTCGAGCTTTTTTTTTTACGTGCACGCCAATGTGTACACCTTTACCTGAATTCCCCTAAATCTTGACCCCTAGGCATCAGCCCGCCAGGCCTATAAGTAAATAATCCATACTTCTATAGATAAATATCCATGCTTTGAAAATCTGAAATCCGTGCTTTCAAAAAATGCTATGTAGCCGTGTAAATCTGGCAAGATTGTCTGATCATTATGATCATCGACCACTTTCGATTTCTGTTTCAAAAGTTTTGTATTGTTGAAGTATATTCCCACCACCACATAAAGCACGAAAATTACATAGCAGAATTAGCGTCGGGTACAGTTGACTTTGGATGTTTCTTTGGGCATACAGTTGTAAATATATATAGAGAGAAATGGGGTTTAACGTCCACTCGACACAGACTAGGTCATTTTGGGACGAACAAATGGTTTAATTTTATTTCAATAATTCGCTTGCGCGTAGGGGTCTTTAGCAGTGGGAGGACCCGGAAAAACTCCTCGAGGTTGGACAGGCGACCCTACTCCTTGTCACGTACAACCGGGGATTCGAAACCACGCCAGTTGACTCAATGACAGGCTTTATGATACAGCACGCACGTGCTCACCATTCGGCCATCCAACCCCCCTGTTGTAAATATAAATATGTTAATTCTGTTATATTGTGGGTACAAAAGTGTAAGCGGAAGTCAAATTCTGGAAATTATCACGAAACAACAAAACACCGGAAACCGTACTTCGCTAATAAAACCTTAAAATAAGGCCCTGGCACGGACAGTTAGTGGGTACGTAGATAACGTAGTGCGCGGCTATAATCGTGCCTAGTAAGATATACACCGAGAAGCCCAAGTCGGGGTTATGGAAGTAAAAACCGACTCGCTACCTGCATTCTAGATTTACTAAGCCGACTTACGCGCTTGTCTGAATATGTCAGCTTGTAACTGATGGTTAATCCTTGATGCCTAAATCGACTTTGCTTTGACAAATTTGATATAAAAAAATCAATACTGTATTGTTGTTTAACCATGATAAGTACTGTGACATTTAGCACTTGATGTAATTATCTATCATAAAAAGGTGCGGTATAGATTATTACTTATCAACAACATTTATATTACTTACAGTTAATCTATATACACGCCTTTGGTCTCTTTCTTTGGATGGCCGAATGTTTAGCACGTGCGCGCTGTATCATAAGGACTGGCATTGAGTCAACTGGCGTGGTTTCGAATCCCAGTAAAAGTGTGTGTGTGTGTGTTGGGGTGGGGGGTGTACGTGACAAGGAGTAGGGTCGCCTGTCCAACCTCGTGGGTTTTCTCCGGGTCTCCCGGTTTCCTCCCACTGCTAAAGACCCCTACGCGCAAGCGAATTATTGAAATAAACTTAAACCATATGTTAGTCCCGAAATGACCTATTTTGTGTCGAGTGAGGGTTAAACCCCATTTCTCTCTCTCTCTGGTGGTAGGCGGGTGGTCGATTAGACTTCCCTTTTCATATTTCTCGGCGGCGTTGGCTTGTTGGGATTCATTGAAAGAGTGGGCTTTAGATAATAAAGTCTGTCATTTAGTCAAGAGGCGTGGTTTCGATCTCAAGCGTGTACGTGACAAGGATTAGGGTCGCCTGTCCAAAATCGTCGTTTTTTTTTCGAGTGTTAAAGAACCCTACGCACAAGCCAGTTACTGAAATAAAATTGTATCGATTGGAAACTTGAGCACAGAAATCTAATAACCGCATGTGGGAATAAAATTGACTATCCTAAAGTCTTATTCATTTGATACATATAGGATGACGCCGTTACCTATGCAATGTTATCCATGCAATCACTAGTAGAAACTGGAGCTCGCAAGTGGTAATGCAAGTCGACGTCAAGAATATTGTTTGCTTCTTTCCTTTATAAGGGAGCCGCGGTGGCTAAGTGAATAAGACGCTGGAGGTTGCGGGTTCGATCCCGGTGTTAGCCGAGAAAGTTTATCGGGGGTTTTCTGGCGTGGTTTCCCCTTGTCAGTGGTGTAGGCCAGAGGGCCTGACAAGGATAGCTGTCTAGTCGATCGGGTGGGACGAGAAACCAAGATCCCGTGTACGCATTGATCTGCACGTAAAAGATCCCTTGGCAGTTGGAATTCGATGTAAGAGTATAGCGCCGCTATCCGGTCAAAATTCCCCTCATAGCACACACTATGGCGTATGCCCGTCTTCATTAGCCCAGACTGAGTAGAACAGTAGGACGTTAAACGCTATTTTATTTCATTTCTTTCTTTAGTTCTTTTTTTTTACTGCTTGGGGAAAAAATCATTGGTGAAAAAATCGATTAAAAAAAATAAAAACAGGTCGCAAAAAAGTAACAGAATAACCTCGTGTGTCACTCATGTCAATAATCTGTTCGCTTGGTGACACAGGGGGGATAACTCCTATATGTTTAATACCATATAAAGTCGTAAATGTTTAAATACACATTTTTAATCCAACCACACCACAGTTTACTGAAGTCTCGATAATCAGGCACCATGCAAACAAACCAGAATATCTTACAGCTTGCCGCAAACAATAATGACGGAACCCGCAAATCCACTGTGCGTAGCCAATAAGGTTCAACCATATTTGGAGGTGGGGGCAAAAACATGAATCAATTAATTATACCAGGGCTAAAACAAGCTACTAAATAGTCCTGGTATTGTGATGATGCAAATGAATGCAATGGGATTTAACGACAAAACATTCTGCACCACCCCCTCCACACTGATCCGTAGTGAATATTCCCTAGACTGATAAGGATGACATTGATGCGACTTAATGAGCCACAAATATTAATTAAATTCTAAAACATTTTTGTTTTATGTATTAGAAAAATAAATACAGACGTTTGAAGTAGTTGTAGGTAAAAAAAATTTCCTATTTTAGTGTAAAACATATATTAAAATGAGTAAAAGGCGCCATTCTGCTCGAATCAGTAACGTCTTATGTAAACAATACACGCGCCATTGAGCCAATGATTGACGCCGTGTGATATGGCGTCATGCGTTGAAGGCAGTCATCTTTTACAGAGATACTAGAAGACTTTCGTAATACTCTGTGAAACAGATTGCACCCCCTCTACTGAAGACGGACGCATTCGCCATGCAGGCCAATTGTGCTATAATGGATGGGGGATGCTAATTGTATAGCCGGCTGGTGGGGGGGGGGATTTTCCGTAGTCCACAATGTCCGCTTTAGATAGAAGAGTATTTTGGGGAATACTCACCTTAACTCTTTTTAGAAGACGGAACTTGGATCCAATTTACCATTTGATCCTTTAGGGTTATGGTTAGTTCCCAAAAATACTCATTTATATAAAGCAGCCATTGTAGGCCGGTTGGCCCCTGTCCGACCCCACCCACCTTAACGCTTTTGACCAAGACCAATGGAATTCCTGAGTTCGAGCACCATGCCTCTAACTAACCTTCAAACAGGTTCGTTACCCCAACTGTCGCTCCACGAATATCGAGTGTTGTAGAAATAGTTCCATACAAGTCTATTTTTATAATCGAGACAAAACGCTGGAGTATGAAAAACTAAACAAGATCCTTTTAATGTTATTATGACTCCATATAGTTTTGCTTTTGATCAGAAATAATATTTAGACAGAATATCTAAACTAATATGGCAATCAGATACCTACGGTTAAAGGGTTCACATCCGGCGAAATACCGTTTCCGTGACTTTCATGGAAATATTACTCTGCATATTCTCAAAACCGAAGGCAATTTGGCTCCAAAAACATAAACTATTAGAGTGAATAAATAAAGGTTGAACATATTTAGTATAACATTTTCTAGATTTAAAAACAATTACTTTTAAAATAGCTTAGGTGGTGTGAAGGGTCTTTAGGCGATATTCAGCTGTTTTGATGACGTAGTACACATATATGGATTACAGCTGCCTATAATGAAAGGTGTTTAGATTGGTGTACTCTGCTATTATGATAGACACCGTATTGTTATGATAGTCAGGAATACAGACAGCTTGCACCAAAAGATGATAAATGTATGCTTAAAAATAACCATTTTCAAAACAATCGCAATGGTTTCACGCTGCTCGGTGCACCAGACGGTTTTTGTTTGCCGCCATGTTTGTTTTTAATGAGTTTAATTAATGTGTTGTAATATTTGGTATTTCGGATCCCTGTGATGTCTCAGATCATTGACTTTGGTTACTGAAGCCAAAAACATTACAGAAGAGTTCCAAGGCCCACGGTTTTAAAAGGTTTAGACTACTTTTATAACGCAACATGATCCCGAGTAAGCAGTTTTAAACAAATAAAGATACATTAATGGAGATAAGATAAAATGCTGGCAGTTCTCGCTATTATAGTTAAAAACTAGATAATGTAAAGGCAATTTGCTGAAAATTTCAGTCAAATTAATCCACTATGAACCGCGAATTAAGCGATTGAAATTTCGGCCTAGCCTCGATCATCATTATACTAAAGTCTATGATAAATAATCCATTTCATGATTAAATTATGAATGGTAGTCAAGCAGCAAGTTGGATCATAATCCAGTAAATATCGCAGGCTAGCGATGCCATCGAGAGTTGATTATGGCCTGGATAAGTTCATTAATATCTAATTAATTATTTAGATAAGATTTCAGGCCTAAAGAAGGACCTGCAATAGGCAGATTTAGCTCTTGCACAATGTATGTTTATGTCGGATAGGCTTCAAAAATATGCTAAAATGTCATCATGATCAAAAAATTTTTAAAAAATACAATATTTAGAATAATACTATGTATCCTGTTTGCGATCCTGTAATTCTTAATCACGTTATCTTGAAGGAGCTAAATCGCTATTCTTTGGCAACTCGAAATTGACACAAACGGGTCGCAAAGCATACAATAATGTAATGTGAATGTATATAAACTGATTTACATTCAATAGTTTCTGTTTTTACTGTAATTTCTAATCAGTTTATCAATTATATTCACGAAATACGCAAAAAGTACAAATTGTATGACAGTCTTTGGCGCCTGGTTATACCGGTAGTATTTTATGTGGAATATGTTTAGCATCGTTCATCGAGTCGCTTCATTACAAATGGCACCCAAAAGCATTCTGGCACGCGAATTTGAAAATTGTCATTTTGTCTTAAATACAGGATATCAGAAGCCCCCGTTTTCACGGTAAGATAACAACATCAATGTTTGACCAATAAGTCGTGTTTGCAATTTCGAAGACTAGATGATATTGAGTTAAAGACTTGCCCCCGTTTAGAAAAAAAGTTTTGGCTAGTATGACGTTCCGGAATGCGATATATTTAGGTTCTTTGCTAGAAGGAAGCACGTGTGTGCTACAGTAAGAAATCTCTGAACATATTATTTTGAAAACTTGGATATAGCTGACTGTAGCTCGTCCCATTATCTACAATACTCATTTGAAATGAAATGGGGTTTAACGTCCTACTGTTCTGCTCCGAACTGGGCTAATGAAGACGGGCATACGTCATGGGAAATTTTGCTCGGACAGCGTCACTACGGTCTACCACTCTTATATCGAATTCCAACTGTCAAGGGATCTTTTACGTGCACGCCAATGTGTACAAGGGACCTCATTTTTTTGTCCCATCCGAACGACTAGACAGATGTCCTTGTCAGGGCCCCCCGTTCTGCATCACTGACAAGGGGGAACCACGCCAGAAAATCTGGATGAACTTTCTCGGCCGATGCAGGGATCGAACACCCGACCTCCAGGCTAGCAAGCCAGCCTCTTACCCACTTAGCCACGTGACCCCCCCCCCCATACTCATTTGACATTGGGGAGCCACTGTGGCTCAGTGACTAAGACGATGACTTGCTAACCTAGAGGTCCCGTGTACACGTTTGCGTGCACGTAAAGATCCCTTGAGAGTTGGAATTCGATATAAGGGCAGGCCGTAGCGGCGCTGTCCGGGCATTATAAACGCACCACTGCAAGTGCTGGCCAGACATAATGAAGTTAAAAAGTGATTTTTGTCATGATTGTTAACGGGACATTTGCTAATCTGCAACAACCCACGTAACTCATAACGACCCTGAAATGTAAGTCAGTAACGCGCGTGTCCACCACATTTGCCATGCTACGTCGCCGTATTGTCCACAGGATACTCGATTGGTGACAGATTGGGAGTTGGGGGGTTGGCCATTTAAGCACCAGCACGTAGTTCTGGTTGAAGAGGTCCATGGAAACACGTGCTGTATGCGCTCGATCATTGTCATTCTCAAATGTATTATGCAGATCTCGGTGACGTTTGGCTAGCAGTCTGGCAGAGCGTAGTCGGCGACACACAGTGTCAGCATTGATGAACCCCTGTGGACCCCCCTCCACCCAATAGCAGAAGTACGCTAGCAGCCTGCTATCCTGCAGATATTGCCGGATAATGTGCCGGTCGTGTAGAGGCATCTTCACGTATTGGCCTAGGACGGTTTCTAGTGGATCACGTCTGCTGCAAAAAGTGACAATAATAGATATCCACGGACTAGTGAGAGCATTCGCCATCGCAATACGTATCGTATCTTGACTGTAGTGGCAATATCCAGCACTACATGTAATATATATGCATGGAAGTATAAAATAGTAGCCGTTGTATATTATTTGGGAAAATTGTCTCAATACATCGGTTAGCATTGTCTTTTTTAAATACAAGGCGGAGGGTCAACTTTCTTGAAACCAATCGTAACCCAAACACGAATGTTATTAGAGCTATTAGTCGAAGCGGAAACAATAAAGGTTGAAAAGATCCTGACTAGTAAAATCGAAGAAGGGCCACGGACTAAGCCCTCTGGGACACCAGCATATCCACCAATACACCATTTTATTAAAAGACAACACATAAACACAGGCAGAACAACATATCAAGGTTCAAACGTAATCCAATCTTCAGGTGATGACATACATCAAGACAATTCAATTACCATTTCATTTCATTTCATTAAAAAAAATTATGTCTGTGAAAACGTTTCAATTAATTTTATTTATTTACCATTATCTCACTGCATTTTCACTTCTACTCTTTTACGTTTAATTACTGTAAATGAACATTCTAACAGTAGTCCACCCACTGCCACAAGCAAACCAATTCCGAGGATCCCAAACGCACCCTTAATGTTGTTCAAAGAAAAGGCATCAACTCGGTCCTTCTCCCTTGTACTAGAGCAGTGCGCAGACGGTTTTTTATAATAACCTTTCAGTAACCCGGCTTCAAATCGCCTAAACATATACTCGTCCAGATCCGCTTTCAGTGGGGAGTTTAACGGAACAGCATAGCTTATATATTGTGCCGTTACAATATTGTCGATTGCTGATAACACACAGTCATTTCGAGAAGTGACATGAGTTGTAATAGATCCATCGATATAAGCGAAGTTGCCATTCAACACTTTATCTATCAATTCACTCTTATTTCCAGACAAAACAGATGAATCGGTTTCGTTTTGTTTCACAATCCCAGCCCATATTTTCCTGCTCTCCTCGAATGTAGAATCTTCAAACATTTCCTGAACACCGGAGTCTTTCATCAGACCAAATTGCCAATGTTCCTGTTTAACCAAATCAGCGAGTGAGGTAAAGGGTATTTTATTTGTTTTTACCAAAAGTGAAGAAGTTAAATTTGCCGTATAAACAGCGGCAATTATAACACAAAAAATAAACCATGCTGCATACAACAACCGACCTTTACTTGTTCTGGGTTCAATGTGGCCTCCCTCAAGAAAAAAGCATCCTAATATATCAAAGAGTAGCGGCGGTATATTTGGATATTTGCCTTTTTGTTCTCCAGCTAAGTCTAGAATTGGGTAACTTTCAGCAGCTATGAACAAAATTGTAAATATGATATAAGACGCCAAGAGCACAAAATAAACTTTAGCATTTAATGGGTTTAGTAATGATGTCCAATTATCTTCTACACCTGGAATCCTGTAGACAATTCCTATTGACGTGGTCATCAGGGCAGGTAATATAAAATCCAGAACTTTTACCCGTTCTGCTGTAACCATATACTCAGCATATACAATATCGACTTCACGACGCTGCCCTAGACCAATCAAACCACTCCACGTGTCATTGTCAGCTGACTTGACACCCCAGTCACCGTCTTCTGGTTCCATTATTTGGTAGGTAAAATTTAAATCTAATGCCATGTCTTTAAGCAAATCGAACACCCATCCGCTGTATACTGACGTCCCATTAATAACCTCCTTCCTTAATAATTCGTACGGCAACGAGCCCAGTAACAGCCTTCTGCCATTGAAATGGAATTTTATATTTGGAAAAATATCTTCAACTGTTGACAGTCTGGTAAGAGAAGTCCAAAGGCTACCCTTTTCTTTTTTGACGAGTGTATTCACTTCAAAACACCCATTCACGGATTGGTGAATGACTGTCACGTGACATAAATCTGTTAATACGTCACCAAGTGCTTGTGTCACAACCGGATACGTCAACATTAGCCATTTTGATTTTATTCTAAAGTCAGTTGTCCTGTTCGAATTGAAATCAAAATTATTAACAGTTTGCATCACACTAGAAACTTTTTCTGGGTTTTCGGTCGTAACATATAAAATGTGAATTCTAGGAAAATGTGTTCTGTGTATTTGATGAAGATGATCTTTAAGTTTTGAAGCTTGTGTGTTGTAAACGGTTCGTCGAATGTTTACTGAATCCATCATTATTAACAGATCTCCTATAAGCGCATCTATTGACGGTCCATCATCATCATAAAGTACCGTTATTTCTTCCCATTGCAAAACAGTCAAAATATTTCTAAAGAGACCACCTGCATGCTTTGTCCAAACGTTGTTGGAAATAAAAGTATCGCTGCTCGGGCATCCAACAATTAGAGTAAGAAACAAGAACAGAATACCCATTTTGCTTCTCGTACGACGACAGCTTTAAATAAACCATAGCTGACTTTAATCCTTTCTCTTTCCCTGAGTCAACGCAATCGATGGTGGATCAATATTTTAAAGGTACTTTATCACTTTCTACTATAAAATAAAAGGGCTAACATAGACTGATCCAATTAACAAAACTTGAAAGACACATTAATTACATGTATTGAAACATAATCATATGCATATCCTGTGCTTTGAAATGAAATGAAATGAAATGGGGTTTAACGTCCTACTGTTCTGCTCCGATCTGGGCTAATGAAGACGGGCCTGTGCTTTGTACACATGCTCGACATATGTGTTAAAAGAGCTAAATCTCCATTCCTTGGCACCTAGAAGTGGACACAAATGGGTCGCAATGCAATGTTTTTAAAAAAGGTTTACGCAACATGATCCCGAGTAAGCAATTTTAAAAATTTTCAAGTAAACAAATAAGTCGGATACGCTTCCAAAAATGATTGGGTTATCTAACACTCACGATTACCATTCTGCACACAGAGATCCACCTACTTCATACTTCGAGAATAGATCTCTGTCCTGAATGACCGCCATATTAAAAATAGTATACTGTTTTGTAAGGCGTTCCTACTCGGGTTCACTAATTAAACCTTTTTAATTTTATTAAATGAACGCAGAATATATACTTCTCCAAATTCTTGAAATATTTGGGACTTAAAATGACGGTCAACTAGCTTAGTGCCTGTTCTTAGACGGAGCTAACTGTAGACAGGTTGTGCAAGTTTAGTATGTGACTATTACATGCTAGAAAGTCAACCGTCTTAAAATTTCAGCTTAAAATATTGAGTCGTTTAGAAGTGAGCGTCAAAACTGCTTATCCGGATACGTAACCTTTTTAAGATTTCGGGTCAAGTTTTTCGTTTGGTAACCGGATAATCGATTCCCGTTCCTTTAGAGGTCTATACAGTAAATGACCTATGTGCTGTACTTGATAACGAAAGCTAAATTTCACCTACATGTACACATTATTTTTATAAAAAAAAGTCTGGTTTTATCTAGACACAGCATAATACAGCTTGGGATACCCACCGATCTCCATTTCCAGATGAAGACTGACAGGTTTAAGTTGTTTGAAAACGTATTACATATATTGGGTTGGTTGCTCGGCCGTAAGGTAGAGGATTTCAAGGGATTTTAACACAAAATTAAGCAGTTGTATTCTCCAAAATATTATCGGGATTGGCCCTTTAAGTAATCAATCCAATTTGTCAACATACACCTTTTACCTTTTAATGAGGTTTTCATTTCTCTTTCAATAACGACACGTAGTTACGTCGTCAACAGACCAATGGCATTAAAGAGGTACTCCCCCTGATGATTTGACTAATCGCACACAAACCCACACTCTGATTAAGACGGTTTAATATTCAGCTTTCGAACTTTAAAGTTGTTTGCTAAACGGACAACGACGATCGTGTAGTGTGTGTGTGTGTGAGAGAGAGAGAGAGAGAGAGAGAGAGAGAGAGAGAGATTGGGGTTTAACGTCCACTCGACACAAAATAGGTTATTTCGATACTAACATGGTTCAATTTTTATTTCAATAATTCGCTTGCGTGTAGGGATCTTTAGCGGTTGGAGTAAACTGGACCACGAGATTGGACAGGCGATCCTACTCCTTGTCATGTTCAGCCGGGGAATCGAATGACAGACCTTGACTCAATGACAGACATTATGATACAGCATGCACGTGCGAACCATTCGGCCATCCAACCCCCACGACTATCGTGCAAGACAGAATAGATTGCGGTTGCCCGGACAGAGGCGCATCCAGCTTCCCCTTATCGAAGTGTCAATAACTTTTTCAGGTTTATGGCAATCTCTTCAATGTATGTTGTTCCGCCAGTTTCCAGCAAAACAGAACACGAATACGACAGATAATCTGAATGCAAAATATTAAAGTTATTTTGAAAATCGAAAAGAATTAACGTTAATTTACATTGTCACTCGATTTGTGGGTAATTTTGTTACAGGACGGGAAGGTATTAATATTATTTATTTAAGTTTGTGTTTAATGTCATCTATATTATGGAGCCGAAATAAAATAGAAGCCAGATAGACATTAACGATGATGTTAAAGTGTAAAAAAAAACTATTACTTATCGCCAAAACAGTTGGATTGTTAATTTGTAGTTTCGGATCAATATTGGAAAAGCTTAAGTTTCATTAAGCCTTTATCAGCTTACCTCTTCCCAGACCAAATAGCTCATCTTACATCAACATGTTGTTTTAGGGATTATTGTAATTGCATGCTATTTTGTTAGGTACACAATGTCATAAAACTTGATATGGTCCAATAAATTTGTCTCTCCGGTATGGACTATTTTGGTAATCGATTTTATCGAAAGTCTTTTCTGTTCTGTTCCACCAGGGGCGTGGTGGGGTGGTCGGAGTTAGCTGGGCAACATTTTGTAACTGGGCCCCGGCGTGATTTATTATTAGCTGCCGCAGGAAGTGCCGAAACAAAGAAAGTCGCAAGTAAAGCAGTCAGGGGAGCGTAGTGCCCCCAAAGATATATGACTATTAATAGAATGATCCCCAAGAAAATTTTATAGTTTTGGGCGCATTTTGCTTACAAATGTGCTAAAATTTTATCCCTTGGGTACATTTCGCAAAGGATCCTTTAGAAAGAATTTTTTTTTTTAAATAAGCATTTTCTACTGTGCCGTTATCCCGTGCCATTAATTGATGCGAAGATAGAGAACCATGTAAACGAATGTGCGATTCGGGAATGATTTTGAAGCGATCAGCATTGTAGTAGTTATGTTGTTCTATGTCCAGTTTAATTGATTTACTATTGGACAGTAGGAACTTTTAGTGTACCATTGTGGTAAGCGATTTTTATATTGTTATACTATGTTTAATAATAATGTTACCACATTTATCTACTGATGCTTCCTCGTTATCAATGGCTCTTGTATTTAACCGTGGCATCAATAATTCTAGATCATGCCAACGTCCTTAACAGGTCTTGTTGGGGCGGGCTTAATGGGTCAATAGTCAATATTGATAGAATGAAAGCACGTGACCTTGATGACATTTTTTTTTAAACTAATGAAATGGATATTTATTAGACACTGACTTTAAACATCTACCTCTTCAAGTTTGGATATATATTTTTTATTTACATAGTTCCATATGATGACATGTTTTGTTTTGTTTTTTGATTTTTGTTTAAAAACCTAATGAAATGGATATTAATTAGACGGTGACTTTAAACATCTAGCTCTACCAATTTGGATATATATTTTTTTGTTTACATAGTTCCATGTTAGTCTTTTTAAAAAAACGGAGCCCGTCTGGGGTTTTTTAGACATCATTCCCGGTCGGCTCGGGCTAGCGGGTGAAGGGAACATTATTTATAGTTACTAGAGACTATAGATTATTACACATATACGTAATAACAGCTGTTGTGAAATTTGTATTGAGGACGTGGAACTGCTATAAAAACATGTATTTAGAACAACATGGTTTCCCCGACACAATAAAAGAACACAACGTGAAGTCAAGGATTTAAAGCTGTGGCATATGATCAACAGCGACGGACAAGAAAAAGCATTATCTCACTGTATTTTCACTTGAACTCTTTTACGTGTGATTACTATAAATGAACATTCTAACATAAGTCCACCCACTGCCACAAGCAAACCAATTCCGAGGATCCCAAACGCACCCTTAATGTTGCTCATAGAAAAGGCATCAACTCGGCCCTTCTCCCTTGTACTAGAACAGTGCTCAGACGGTTTGTTATGATAACCTTTCAGTAACCCGGCTTCAAATCGCCTTAACATATACTCGTCCAGATCCGCTTTCAGTGGGGAGTTTAACGGAACAGCATAGCTTATATATTGTGCCGTTACTATATTGTCGATTGCTGATAACACACAGTCATTTCGAGAAGTGACTAGAGTTGTAACAGATCCATCGATATAAGCGAAGTTGCCATTCAACACTTTATCTATCAATTCACTCTTATTTTCAGACAAAACAGATGAATCGGTTTCGTTTTGTTTCACAATCCCAGCCCATATTTTCCTGCTCTCCTCGAATGTAGAATCTTCAAACATTTCCTGAACTCCGGAGTCTTTCATCAGACCAAATTGCCAATGTTCCTGTTTAACCAAATCAGAGAGTGACGTAAAGGGTATTTTATTTGTTTTTACCATAAGTGAAGAAGTTAAATTTGCCGTATAAACAGCGGC